CCCCAAAACCCCAAAACCCCAAAACCCCTTTTAGAGAGAAATTTCAGGTAATTATTAATTTTTTAATTATTTATCTATGCATCCCACCACAAGATGGCTTGCTGTGGACCTCACTGGTCACTCAAAGAAGGTGATAATCACTCAGAGAAGATCCTTAAGACATGGGAGTGATGAGAGAAGGCTTAAGAGTAGCTGTATCTCTACCTTCTCAAGCAGAATATCATCTACTTCAGGTAGCATTGAGCTCGACGATATTCCCAAAGTTGAGCCAATTCATTGCCAGTTATCCAAAAATAAGGGTGAAGCTGAAACACGAGTTAGCTCTGATTGCTCAGCCAAAAATATCTCATTAGTGAACACAGAAGGTAGTTGTTCACCAGAATTTTTTGATATTTTCCCTGAAATAGGGCAGGAAGGGAATGATTCTGATTCCATGGAGAATGAATCTGGTGTAAAAAGTAAGCTTGTTAGAAATATTCTCTTCACTGAGTTACTGATGGACTCAGTCAATTTCCTTACATTCTGTAGTCAATCTATATGTATATCCTCATAAAATGATCAAATTGATGCCTTATATGTACTAAGGAGGTTAAAATACCTAGCTATTAGCTACACCGTTTTATATCATTAATCAAGATTAGAAATATTGAGGAATCACTAGGACAAATTTCCTACTACAAAATTTTTTCCATGAGAGTAAGTATGGATTACGATATCTGGTTATTCCTTTGGCTTCGTTATTATTTGTGACATTTTCACCAAAAGTTATAGAACAGAGATCAAAGAGTAGGAAAGATAGAGGAAGACTTATAGTCTTAACCAAGTACACCAATGATGGAGTGGATGAGCAAGATGATTTATTAAAGTATGGTTCAGGAAAATATCTTATAGTGCAGATAAAATACCATCGAGAACAGTTCAGAAGATTCCTAGGTATGAGACAGATTGTTAACACAATAGCTCAATTCAAAGTCATGTTATGCCTCAATCTCCAACTACTCCTAATTCAATGTAAGAGTCATAGTTATAAAACATAGAAAGCTTACATTCCCTTGGAGAAAATATAATGAAAGGGAGAGTATGCCAAAAAATTCAAAAACCCTTAAAAATCCAAGATTTGAAAAGATTCTGGTCCCAGATGATCTTGATTACTGGCTCCCATCATCTTATGAGGAACTTATGAATGAAGAAAAGACAGAGGACAGTATCTCCAATCTGCTTGAGATGTCCAATACATTTGGTCAGAAAGGTAAATTTATTTGAAGCACAATTCTTATATTTTCCTAGCCCCAGACATTCAGGAAAAAGACCTGCATGAAAGATATGTTAAGCTTAAGGACAAAATGAAGGAAATCCAAAGACCTACAAATCTCTGAGCTCCAAAGTCCTTGTAAGCAAATGCTACAGAATACAAATATCTCATGTATTGTTCTAGGAGTCAGAGAAAGTCTGAATGAGACTTTAATACTAGCAAGAAATCAACTAAGATAAAGAGTAGGTTCTTTGTTCGTAACAAGAAGAACTCCTCTACCAAGAAGCTGATGCTTAGCAAAATTAACTTGATGGTCCCAAAAGACAACTCTAAAGAACCTTCTCATAATGAGGAAATTATTTCATACAATTCCTCCGCAACTCCTCTAGAAGGAATCAACGAGATGAAATCAGGTGAAAGATTAACTGATCCTACTGGCTTTTTAGTCTATAAGCCTCGTGAGATTAAAGCTCAACCTAAAAATAAGCATGAAATGGAAGCTATAGGGTTTATAGATCATGAATTCCAATTTGTGCTGCCAAATTGTGACCTAGAACCTACTAAGAAGACTAAGAATATTTTATCTCTTGAGAAACTTAATATTTTCAAACTTTTAGAGAAAGAGTCTCCACATCAGCCTGATATTGATAAGAGCTTCGCTCTGAATCTCATCAAGGAAATCACAGAGATTGAGATGAGCAAATACCAGCATGATCCCTTGATGAAGAAGGTGGTCACAAAGATCCTTGAAAAAGGCACCCTCCAGTCTAAATAAACTCTATCAATTCACCAAGTTTTACCATTTCTTGGCAAATAAATTAAATTCATTTTGATAAAAATAAAAGGGGTTTTGGGGTTTTGGGGTTTTGGGG